GCTCAGTTTGATTCTACATGAGGTTGGAGTTGTATGGGCTTTTTGAACATTGTTCTTTGTCATCACCCAAAGAAGATGGCTATGAATATTCATGGCGTGCAATTAAGCGAAGCCTTCTATCTCATATCCTACAGGGGTTCTCGTACTTTGACTAGTTAACGCTATTCCTGATTAGGTGCCCGATAAAAGGAGAGTCCAGGTGGCACAATCTCAGGAAAAATACCTAAAACCTCAATCTGGTGCCCGCTTGGATTTTCCTTTGAAAATATTACGTCACGTTAGAATTTCCAAGCTTATGTACTTAGGTACTTCATTTATGACTCAATGTTGGGAACTTTCGTATATCATGTAAGGCGCGGCATCTCCCGAACTCCACGTTTCAACTCTCGTCGAATTATCTCGACATCTCATTTCAGTCGGACCTTCTCTGAGAAAACTCAAAGTTACAACACCACTATGGCAAATGGAGCTCTCCCACAGACTCTCAAGTCTATCACTGCCACAAAAATCAGTGAACTCTCCAAGCAACGCGCCCTATTTGATCTGCGCAAAACCGAAATTCTCGCAGTTGCCAAGGCAGCCCCAGATCTGCGCACCCATGCTCAGGCTTTGCTGGATGGAATATCACGCCTGAAGGGATTTCCCAAGGATTCACTCGACAAAGACGACGCAGATTTAGATGCTGATTCCTTTGATGAAGAATCAGAAGACACACTCACTCCGCGAGGAGTGGGTCGTTTGCAGCCGGAAGATCATACAAACATTCGTCGCTTTCTTCTACAAAGTCGCCACGACCCTTCCATCTCCCAGGCAGCTTTACAGGATCGTATCGATCAGCTGGAAAAGGAGCTGCAGTATCTTGAGATAAAGCACGAGCACGGTGCTTTCTACAGCAATTTGGTCAAAGAATGGTTGTCGGAATTGGATGGAAGCATTACTTCCACTGCGAATGAATCCAAATCCACTAAATCCGACCCAACCTTCGAACACGTTGGGCGGGCAGAAATGCATGAGCAACGCGCGACTTGGGAGTCCTTGGTCTTTAATGCTGCGACCCATGTGAACGAAGACGCAATCCGGTCCTACCTCAATGATCTATTCACCAAAACCAAGCTTTCTCAACAGGCACTCAAGGAACTTCGAACAAGTATCCAATCATTTGGCACAGATCTGGTCTCAAAGGGCGAGTGGCTCGATGTAGACGAACTCAAATGGGTCTCTGGCGCACTGCTTAAGAGCGACATCCTCAATGATGAAAAGACAGCCATTCTGAAAGAGTTCATGCGGAATACCGAGGTTGCTCAGGAGGTGGCAGATGTGCTCAACATGCGCATTGCCTCGCTCGAGAGCTGGACATGGACCGGAGACGCTGATGGTATTTCGCTTGAAATGCGCCGTCAGCTCAACGGTAAATACCGGATTTTCATGGATGAAGACCTTCTCGATGCCCTTCTGCTGCAGTATATCGGAACAAAATGGGCTGTCAAGCTTCGGGAGGTTTTTGAGACATTCCTACGTTCCAACGCTTGGAAGACCCTACAGGAAGATATCCCCGAAGAGCACAAGGAAATGCGCAAGTACTTCCTTGGCCGAGAAGCCAACTCGGACTCCGGCAAGATCAACGAGATTCGGAGGAGGACATACACCGACCAGTATTTCATGAGTCAACTACCAGCTTCAATCTATGAAGGCGCACGGGAATATGACGCCACAGGGTCCGACACAAATAACGTCCTGGATGCAAAGCACTCCCTTCTACACCTCCTGATCACAGAATCTATCATCCATAAGCATCAGCGCGGAGACTTTACTGCAGTCCGGTCGGACTTTGAGTGGTTTGGCCCTTCAATGCCTCATGCCACCATGCTCACCGTGCTAAAGTTCTTTGGGGTCTCTGAGCTGTGGATCAAGTTTTTCACGGTGTTTTTGGAGGCTCCACTCAAATTTGTCCAAGATGGAGCTGATGCCTCTATTCAAACCCGCAAGTGTGGCCTTCCAATGAGTCACACGCTCGGTGACTGCTTCGGAGAAGCCGTTCTCTTCTGTATGGACTATACAGTTAATCAGGCTACCGACGGTGCCTTCCTATACCGGCTTCATGATGACTTCTGGTTCTGGGGTGCAGAGAAAACTTGCGTCAAGGCATGGCAGGCAATGGAGCAGTTTAGTCAAGTAATGGGTCTGAAGTTCAACGCAGAGAAGACTGGAACTGTGCAGATGGGCTTGAATGACACCCCAAAGGAGTCTGCCCTTCCCACCGGTGATATCCGCTGGGGCTTCCTGGTTCTGGATGCGAAGAAAGAAAGGTTCATAATCGACCAGGCCCAGGTTGACCAGCATATCGAAGAGCTTCAACGACAACTTTCATCCTGCAAAAGTGTGTTCGCTTGGGTACAGGCATGGAACAGTTACTTCGGTCGCTTCTTTACCAACAACTTTGCAAAGCCAGCCACTTGCTTCGGTAGGGACCATATTGACATGGCCATTACCACCCTGAGTCGCATCGAGCGCACACTCTTCAACAACAGCTCAGCTGATAATAGTTCATCTGATCAAATCAGAGGTGTCACCGACCATCTACGCACTGTGATCGCAGAACGGTTCGATATTCACGACCTTCCCGATGGATTCTTCTATTATCCCATTGAACTCGGCGGCTTGGGTCTTCTCAATCCCTTTATTACACTACTTGCCATGCGTGAAAACATCAAACAGACCCCCCGCAAGCTACTGCACAAGGCCTCTGTGAGGGATGAGAAACAATATGAGGCAGCCAAGGAAAAGTTCAAAAAGCACGGCTCTGATTTCAGGAGCCAATATCGGAACAAATGGGGCGGTGAATCTAAGTCATTCATGTCCCTGGAAGAGTACAACCGGTATGCGGAAACATTTAGTCCTTCTCTTGTGGATGTGTACACGCAACTCACAGAGGTGCCGAGTGAGGCGAGTCTGGCTCTGAGTTCGAGCTTTAAAAAGGAGCAGGATTCCCTTGGTCGCAGGTCTTCTGAAGACTCTATCAATGCTTACTGGGGAACAATGACGCCCTACTGGAGATGGGTGGCGGAGTTGTATCATGAAGGGATGGTTCGCAATTACGGTGGCCTGGCTGCTGTGAATCGCGAATTTATGCCCCTGGGTGTCGTGAAGACCCTGCGGGAGGGTAAATTCAGATGGCAGGGCTAATTGAGTATCGCGGATCTGAATTGCTTGACGCTTCCGTGACTTCGTGACTTCGTGGCTTATGGCTTATGGCTTTCGGATGAAGCAAAGCAAATGTATTTTTAATATAGACAAGACAAATAGAACAATCTACCCACTACACTCAATATTGACATATATAACCCCAGAGTAGCTCATAGAAGGGCTTCATCCAAAGGTCTTCAATCTTCGGGTTAGAGAATTATCAAAATATTGTACCTCGCGTTTCCAAAAGCTGAATTACCCTCCTTCTCGCTCATACAAACGCGGTTCTAGAATCCAGAAGGTCAACCAAGGTAACACGAAATCGATCTAAGTCCTCCTTAAAGGAAGATGATGTTAATATCCTGATTACTAGGTATGACTTCAGGTAGCGGGCCAACACCTTGCATTTTCAGTCAGCAGTGGTCTTTCATGAAATTAAGAGCGCGACATTGAGGTTCTTGGAAGCACTTGTCAAAGAATTCTTGATACAAAGACACGTCCAACTCTCTATCAGAGTAATGGTAGCGGCATCAACTACATTCGAAAAGAACAGTTAATATGAAGCCATGTCATTGCTTGGGATAATTTAGCTAAATTCTTCCCGAAATTGTGAGGGGCGAGATATAGTATGTGTTTGACCATTCCATAGATGCTTGTTTCCCAGGTTTCTTACTATTGAATAGATCATGATTCTTCCATTGCGTTCTCCCCTTCTTATCTGCAACACTATATAGTCTACAGTTCCCTTCTCGCGGTTTGAGAGACGCTTGCGAATCACTTCTCGCGCCTAATTCATTCTATAGAGAAAGAGATGCGAGTAAGGAGCCCTATCTAAAGACGACGCTTGAATATGCTAATATAAGTCGTATTCTAGCCTCGGATAGGACAACTCAGCTTGCCCCAAGACTCGGGTGATGAAAAGAAGATTGATAATATATTACAGAGGATAAAAGCGAGATAGAGAGGTTCACATAAGAGGAGCTGTCGAAGATATTGTTGGAGCATCCCATATACGTAAAGGATGTTTGACAGACTGAGCCTTAGTTTTGATTGTCTTGCCAGGGTATATAAACCCCGGAATTGCTAGATTAAATAGATTCATGATTCTTCCTCTGCTTTCTGCCCACTGTAGTATCTACCACAACATATATATCTCACGCTAATGAGGTACACGCGTAGCTCGCTTACAGAGTACAGTATGTAACCAGCAAACCTGTAGTTCTATATTATTGCTTTGAATCGCCCTCTACGTCCGCAGTCTTCCATCATCACCATGATGTATACAGCATGTCTATGTTTAGAAAAGTGCGCTTTTTATGAATTTGTGCACTTGGTTATAAGGTTTGCCACAGTCAGAGCAGTGCCTGGTTTGAATATGTACTTGCCCTGTTACGATGCCCATGACGCTCTTTCCATCATCGCCGAAACACCTTTCGGCCCTGGTACCCATGGATGCAGCCCTAATTTATCTCTATAGGGGAAAGTACCCTTTAATCGTGATCTGATTTTACGGAACTCGACGCCAGGTCTCGAGAAGGCTTAGTAGTTTTTGAATAACGATCTATATATACAGCCTTTGAATCCATTTCTTTTCTTCTGAATTCTTACTTCTTCATCTATCTCCTTTGACTATTACATCATCCTGCCATCAGGTATATATCTAATCTACTTCAAGTATACCTCAACTAGGCTTCACTATAGAGTATATCGAATACCAGATCGACCCACGGGGATTGATACAACACCACCAACCCCAGCTCCAATCTCCTCAAAGCCTTTTCACATAAATCACCAAAGGCTAAATACAAAATAGCACGATGACATCCATGCAAGTCTACTACGAACAAGCCGAGGTCCCCAATTGGCTCAATGCCATTTCTGGGGACAACGGAAGCATCGACCCAAGGTAAGCATCTATTTTTTTTTTTTTTTTTGGCTCTTTTCCATTATACATTTATATTAACATAACTCACAGGACACTTGGAGTCCACCAGGTGGTCACCACTCAGCACAGCACCTGTCACCCAGACCAACCATCTGAGTCTGAACAACACCCATCACCGCAGTCATCGTGCTGTTCCTCCCTCGATCTACGAGATATAGGCCCACTAAAGCTGGAGCATGAAACTCCAGTCGCGAGAATAATCGGCAAATCATCTCTTCATCGGCTGTACGCTCGAATCAGCCAATACGACCCACGGCGGACATTCACCGAGTTCTGCAACCAAGAAGACTCAGTCTCGCTGGCCACGACTGCAACCGACTCGGAGTACGAAAACTGTTTACTGCCACTTTGTGGAGCCCTACCACAACAGTCCGGTGAATCCTCTGCAACCACATCTACTTCGCCATCATCGTCACCCTCTCCGCCTACCAACCACGAACCCCAGTGGTTGCCTCTTGTGGTTGCACGAGTTGTATCGAGCAAGGCCCGCAAAGCAGGTCGGGCCTTTAAGAAGAAATTTTCTCGGTGATCCTGAGAAAAGGGAATTGGTACATGGCCTGTCTTGGATCATGTACCCCATGCTTATCATTGTCCGTTGTTGCTGGCACCCAACCAAATTGTGCCAGCAGAGAACACGGGAAGCGAACACGGGGTATTCTTTCCAGCTGGGGGATTTATTCCAAAGGGATTTAACCCAGTTGGTTTTAACGAGGCCCCAACTTATCTAACTTATCTATATCTCACGAATTTGTTAGTTGTGTTGTATGGGAATGTTGATGTTTGTCCCATGTTGATACCCTGTACGATTTAGTTTATGTCGGGAAGTTATATATATCATGCCTTTCAATCTCAATTATGAAAATGTAGAAATAACGATAGATTTGTAGATGGAGTGTTGTTGAAGTTGAAGTGTAGTTGATCAAATTGTATAGATCCAAGGCGGTCGGCCCACCTGCCCCGTGTTATCTCGGCAGAGTTGCCTCTCCACCATAAAGCCACCGTGAACAACTGCGGCCACAGGGCATCATCAACAACACCCATTCCCCTCGAACCAATTCTTCTACAACAGTCAACATGGATCCCTTTTCTGCAGAGGGCGGTAAGACTTCCATACCCTTCTCCAGCTGCTATCAGCGCTAATCCAGCTTCCCCGCAGAGCTTCTGAATATCCACAGCGCCTTCCACTCAGGCCAATACCAGAATGTGATCGATTCCGAGACCGCCGCGCTCTCCCCCGAGAACCAACTCCCCGCTCAAGTCCTCAGACTCCGCGCCCAGATTGCTCTCGGTCAATTCGACGAAAGCCTCGCTGAACCCTCCATCGAAGAGGACAGCCCCGACCTGTCGGCCGTCAGGGCCCTGGCCCTGCAGTCATCCGGCAACACAGACGCTGCCCTGCAGCTCGCACAAGAACTCGCAGAGAACTACCCCGAAAACAACACCGTGCAGGTCCTTGCTGCTACCGTGCTCCAGGCCCAGGGCTACAGCGAGGAGGCGCTGGCGCTGCTGTCCAAGCACCAGGGTAACCTCGAGGCGTGAGTTACCTTCGTCGCAAGAAGACTGCGATATATCGGAGCATATCGATCTGACAATCTGTCTGTATTTTAGCGTCTCCCTCATCGTCCAGATCCACCTCCAACAAAACCGGACCGATCTCGCCCTTAAGGAAGTTCAAGCTGCCAAGCGCTGGGGTCAGGATTCGCTGCTGGTCAACGTTGCCGAGTCGTGGGTTGGTTTGAGAGTCGTATGTTGATGGGAACCCTACAATCTATAACCCAATGGTGTATGAGTGCTGACTTTTTGTTTCTGTACAGGGCGGCGAGAGCTACCAGTCTGCTTTCTACGTCTTCGAGGAGCTCGCTTCCGCACCCGGTACCTCCGCACCGCTATCTATCGTCGGGCAGGCTGTCGCTGAAATCCACCTGGGTCGTCTTCCCGAGGCCGAGGCTGCCCTCACCGCCGCTCTTGAGAAATACCCTACCGACGTGGAGTTGATTGCCAATAGCATTGTTTTGAATGTGTTGGCTGGCAAGCAGACTGAGGACCTGGAGTCGTATGTCATCCCGTCGTGGCTCCGTCTAAACGAGATAGTGAACTTGATGCTAACTTGTATCTCTCGTCTAGCCGGTTACAGCAGGTCCAGCCCGCACACCCCCTTCTCACTGATATCCAGGAAAAGAGCGAGTTCTTCGATACTGCGGCTGCTAAGTTCTCTGCCAAGGTCTCATCGTAGAATAATCCAAATGCCGTTCCATATATTTGTTGTTTTGTTTAATCCGAGTCAGGGCAGCCTATCCTGCTTGTTCATGAAAAGACACGACCTATCTCAATCTTGCAATTGGTACCATATTTAGATCCCTTATCTGTAATTTGGTATGAGGCAATAGGAACAATAAGAACCTGTTCCTATCCAACTTATGTTTCTGCCTCAATACCCTGTGGCAACAAATAAAATCACAGTCGAGCAGCCAACCACCCTCGCAACTCCGAGCGAGTCTGAGTCTCTTCCTTAACCATAGTATAAAACGGCGCATCATGCACCTCATCAGCCCCAACAACAAAAGTAACCTCCCCAAAAACCGACTTAATCTTCTTCACAAACTCCTGAATAGGCGAAAGCAAAATCTCATCCCCACCAGCAAGAACCAAAATCCTCTCCGTCTTAGCATCCCTCCACCACTCAGCCGGCGCATTAAACGGCTCATTCCAATTATCCGCCGGTCTATCCTCGCGGTAAGCATCAGACCACCTCGTCAAAACCCCCGGCGTAATAATATCCTTCCACTGATTATCCTTCATCGACGGCCACTCCGTACTAAAGTTAATCCAAGGCGCATACGTAAAGACGCCTGCTAATGGCGCCGACAGCGTCAGCGGCTCGATCTCCGCGTGCGGGTGGGATAGATGCAGCAGTGTCGCTGCAGTGAGGTTCCCGCCTGCGGAGTCTCCGCCGATAATCACGTTGGCTGGTGACCGGCCCGTCTCATTGATGATGTAGCGCAGGGCTTCGACGGCTTGCCGGAGTTGGGTTGGGTATGTTGCGTGTGGGGTTAGCGTGTACCGTGGGAAGAAGACGGCTAGGTCATGGCCGGTTTCGTTTAGGGTTTTTAGCATCTCGAGCCAGAAGTCGAAGTAGGCTGGGATGGCGGGCATGGCGAAGCCGCCGCCTGTTTTTTTATTGGTTAGTTGTTGTTTTCTTTTTGCTTTTGCTTGTATTTGTGGATATCCATGGGATATGCAATGTTGTGATTAGGGTTTTGGCTCTTGGGTGGGAATTTCTCCGCGAGTTACACAATCGAGATTGGGGACGCACCATGGTAATATACGATCACGTTCTTGGCATTCTTGTTTCCGATCCAATGGCCCTCTGCATTGTGTGGAAGTGTAACGGTCTCGGGTTGGAGACCGTGCTTCTTCATGACGGTTTCGTAGGTCGCTGAAGTTGGCGGCACGAGGTACCTGTGCGATAATACAAGGTCAATGGATTGTATATTCTCATTGTTGCTTTCTTGGGATTTATATGCAAAATAATGAGACAGAGGACAACATACTGCATCTGCCGATCTGATCTTCGATCAACGACCTTCCGAATCACGGCGGCCAGGATGTGGTGATCGTAGCGCTTGGGGCTGGCTTTACCCCGAAAAACACCAGTAATGGCAGCATATACCATGCTGGCATATATGGATAGATGCACGAATGGGATATCTGCTTTTTCCCAGAAGCCGAGCTGGGGGATACCATCATTGGACGACATTATGATTTCAGTGATTGAAGCTCTTGGAGAGGTGGAAAGGGGAGCTCCAGGGCTGAGTCTCAGCTTTATAATCTGCGCGGGTATCTCCCCGCTCTTTGGGTTCCCTCGGCTGCGGGGCCCAGGGTGCAGGAACTGGGGCCGCCGGTTGCTCATTGGCTGTGCTCCGATCCACATCGTGGCGTCGTCAAGGTACAGCTGGCATTTCAATGGGATTTTGTCCAGCTTGAGTATGAGGGTATTGGAAATTCAACTTACTTGAGCGTACAAAAATGAAAGAATGGGGATATTCTACACGAATTTAAACAAGGACAGACCCGAGGGAAGGCTCATTGGACAGTTGTGGAAGATATTATGACACTCTTCAAAAGGAACTAATCTGATGTACACACACCCCTGTCAATGCGGTGAGGCATATGGATTAGCATCATGGGATATAGTGCATCGGAAGTTTCAGGACGCAATACCTTTGTCCTCGCATGAAGAGAACATGGTTTTTTGCAGGTCTTGCTCTCTCCAACCGTCACAATGTCAACTTCTCGTCTTCTACAAGCTATAAGATATTTGTATATTGGTTGAAAGGAAGCTAATAAATTGGATGAAGGGAATTCAAATGTTCAGACTTGGAACGTAACAAACAAGTAATCCGATACCTCCACTGGTGCAAAGGTCGGTCTCTTTAGAGGCTTGGCACAATATGTCTAAGGCCTTGAGCGGTTCCAAGTACAGCCTAAACATTTCCAAGTTTTTCTTTTGCCATTGAATTGCATTGTATTGTTTTCGTAATTTTGTTATTTTATTATTTCGTTATTTCACACCGGAATACCGTCCTGTATCCCATGTGCACCTCACAGGTTTGCGCCAATCCCAGAACGGCGTGTTTCATCTTGACGCCACAGATTAGAATATGACAACTTCGTTACAGTTGACCTAGTTTTCCTCACCGGTCGGGCCCAATTCACAGAATGCCTTGTAGGTCGTAAAGACATCATCATCACCCTCACCGCTGCCGGTGTTCTCAATCACACATTCAGCGGTGGCGCCGACGAAGAAAACGTAGCCTTCCTGGACCTCCTCGGTCTTGTTGCCGACGGTGATCTTGCCCTTGCCGCGTGTGCAAATGAAGATACTGGGGCCTTCGATCGGGTCGAAAGTCGCCTTGGCGCCAGTCCGGTTCAAGTCAGTCTTGATAACGCTGAACTCGTCGATGGGAGGGTCGTAGAGCATGGCTGACGAGGCGCTAGAGTAAGCAGTGGCGTTGAGGACAACATACGGGTAGTCTGTTGCCTGGATCTTCTGCTCCTCAATTGGGGCGTAGGAGTAGGTCAGCATCTGGGTGAGGGTATCGACGTCCTTGAATTTCGGGGTGAAACCGGCTCGCACGACGTTGTCAGATGACGCCATGCATTCGATGATATCACCGGAGATGTAAGCGTGGATGTCATCTGCCTTCAGGAACATCCCCTCGCCAGGCTGCAGCTTGACGAAGTTGAGGAAGAAGAAGATGAACAGGCCGATGTCGTTCGGGAACTGTCCGTCCAGACGCTTGGCAAGCGCAGCCAGCTCAGCGGGGTTGGTAGGGTTTGTCTCCACTTCACCTGCTAGAGTTGCAAAGCTATCGGGGCTGTTATCTGCGGCCGAGATAAGGGCCTTGCAGGCTGTCTCTATCTTCTCGGATGAAGACTCCATCAAAGTGGTGAAAAGGGATCGTAGCGCTTCCTTGTTCTTTTGGATGACGGCAGGATCCTCAGAGTCCTCATTACCCTTCACAAGCTTCTCGAACTCACTGGCTGCCTGATCACCAACAAGGGTGCGCAGAGGCTCCACGGCCTTGAGGAAATGCGTGATCTCTGCGAGTGGACGGAAGCCACACACACCCTCGAACGGAGTGATGGCAATGGTCATTTCGGGCTTGTGATTATCATCTTGAAAGTGGTTAGCCGTGTTTCCGGTGCTCGTTGATTGGGTGTGATCTCAATTATCATACTCACCGGGATAGTTCTTTGGGTCTCGGGCATGGAGCTGCTCCGCAAGCTTCTTGTTGGGATGGGCCTGGATGCTTAGCGCTTTACGGATGGAAAGCACCTTGAACAGGAACGGGAGTCTGCCTCCAAATCGTTCGCTGATATCCGTCGATAGCAGAGCCTGGTTATCCTGAACCAAGTCGAGGAGGGTACGCTGGGTCTCCACATCTTTAGAGGGAAGAGACGGGTGTGTGCCCATCCAGAGCTATGAATTGTGAGTCCATTGCCTTGACATTGCACTTGAGCTATCACTTACTTCGGCATAGGGCTTGTCGGCCTCAATCGCAAAATCTGGGGCGGCTGTTGTGGCCGCATACTTTGCCGCTGCAGACTCTTGGCCAACCTTGCCTATGATGGGTTAATCAGTGCGGGGAACACAATCTCGCAAGTGGTACTAGCTTACCCCAGTCGTAGCTGTTGACGCCTAAAGTTATATTAGCGGATGTTTCTTCTTCTAAGCATCTCAAAACTTACCACATTGCAGCCGAAGTAGTGGGACCTGCATCTTGAAATGTATGTTTGGGGGAAAAGCGGAGGGGCAACCAGAAACTTGGGATTAGAAATACCCCGCCAAGCCTGCGGTGAGAAATGTTGGACAGGGTTGTTTGATCTATGACACACGTTTAGAGCTTTATAGGGAAGATTGGTCTAGCATTTCACTGAAATGGCTTTTTGTTTCTGAGATTTACGGAGTATCCCAATCTGTCACGGAATGCCCAACCAGGTACTTCCGCAAACGTCTTTCCAGTTATAGCCAAAATATACAGCCGCATTGGGACAGTATAGTTCAACTGAATTTAATAGGATTGAAGTCTCTTGATATTCATCACCAATATACCCATTGAACAGACAAAAACCAACGATACACAACCACCAACATCAATTACATCTACAATTTCATGTCCCAAAGTAGTTTAGCGTATCAACCCCGACCGCCCGCAGGACGGAGCCCTTATCACCGCGTCTCCAACCTTTTGAATTAACAACTTGTTGCTTCAAATCTGGAGTTCTCAATACCCTGGGGTTCTGGTCAGCAGTAAGCTGTTCATACTCTTTACACATTCATTACCCCCCCACCTTGTTAGTAAACGGAGGATGTCTCGCAACCGCCCCCGACCCAGAGACAACGGCTTTGGCAATAATGAGGAATTGGAGCTCTGGACCAAGATCTGCCAGGATATTCGAAAATCCAAGGAGAAGTTCGATCAACAGAATTCATTGTCTGTGCAGATTAAAACGTTGGTAGACAAGATCGCGCATGATGGCAACCGTGAGTCCCCCCGCACTAGATCCGATCCATCGGCTCTATAGCCGACACCGCAAAGCTCCAATATGCGCGTCGCTTGAAATTAGTCTGAAGAAATTCAAGCCTAATATCAATCACATATACTAACCTCGCACGGCCAACCAGAACCAACCATGGCCGAACACGACCAACTCGACAGCTGGCTCCGC